ACAATTTCTATTACATCAATGTCATATGATATATTTGTCAATTTACTGAAATAATTTTACTGTTTATTATTCGAAATCCCTCTTCATATATATAATATTCTATAATAATAAATATTTCCTACAACATTCAAATTAATATCAGAGGGGATTTTGTGGATAGTAACTTATTGAAAACAATGATGGATGTGTCGCTAGATTTCGTGGATTAGTTAAAGTTAGACATTAACATCGTTGGATGCCAGTTTAGTGGTCTAGAGATTTAGAGCTCGTGCGCGAGACCGATAGGTCCTGGGTTTGAACCACGCGATGCGGGATAGTGGATACGCACTGACGTTGATTCCCACAGTAGGACGAAACGGTCATCCATTGCTTCCAGGTTTTCCATTGTGGTCTACCTTCAATTGACTCATGATCTCAATCATTAAAATATTCAAATTGTTAGATTATCTTTAATATAGATTCCTACAAAATACACTGTAACTTATTCCTGATAATAACGATAATGTGTGAAATCAATTGTTTACATATTGAAATTTGAGAGGGGTGAGATATATTGTGTGACACCTTATACAGGACATAGTGTAGAGGAATATGTTGTAAGTGCATTATTCCTCTGGTCAAACTTCTACCTACATGTTCCTGTCTAGATCATTTCAGTAAACGTAGTAAGCCAGTAGTAATAAAAGCTTTCTGTACAGTGTTTATTCTTCAGTTCTTTAAAGGTGGGTTAATGAAGCGTTTACTAGCGTTCATAGTTACTGATTTAGACAGTAAATCATATAACAGCGAAAGTTCGTTCCAAGTACCTCAGTAATACACATTCACAACCAAATATGTGTTAAAACGCATGTGCTCATTAGTGGTCTAGCTTCGATCGATTCATAAATTCAACTATTTAAACCACTACAGTATCTGCGAATTCCCATTCTGATAAAACATTGATCATTATAAAAATTGTTTATGGTTGATCGTTCTAGATCATGGATAGAATGAAACTGTGTGTTGTCGATGGTGCTTAACAAATTGATTAGATGTTGATATTCTTAACGAGTAACTTAAAGACCTACAAATGGAGATCTCATTAAATTTTAATGGCTCTGTTGTCAGGTTACTTGGAGGTTTTAGAAAAGACTGAAATCAGTCAGCATTGAGGATCAAAAAGCACGATACTAATCAGGACTCGGTGATTAATCACAGTGAAAATCTCAATTCTACAGATTAATTGATCCTTGGATAAGCCAGCGATAATGTTTCAGACTATGAAACTGAATGACGACTGCTCAAGTCCTACGGTGAAAATTAGTTCTCTGAATATCTCAGAAATGAACAGCGAAGGAGAGTTTGCTAGCATGAAAGCCGGTTACAAGATTTCTTGCTGACTACCTTTAATCATCGAATATTTATACATAATACACGTGGCGTTGTGTCCCGTACTCTTAGGGTTGCAATAAAGTCTTGTTAATAATTAAGTCTAGACAATCGAAACTTGGGTTACTATGCAGTGATCGATGAACACATTCAGTGTGTGTTTCCACAAAGCACCGATTAAAACTGAATAAATTCTGTGAATATTCTCACTTAACGATTTGAACATACTACATTATTTTCATCATTATAGAATTTCAGTGATTAGGTTTTTATTGAGATCATGAGAAGCCATAACCAGTGGAGTTCTACCGTGTCAGGTGTATAGCAGTTACCCACCAAAGACAATGAACTATGGTCGCGCAACGTCATGGATTGGATGAAGTTAGGCAATACCGCCGTCAGAGTTTGCGAGTTCGTGCGTGAGACCAAAGGTATTGGACTGGAGTCCCTCATGTGGGATGATGAAAGTGGATTGTTAAGGAGCTCCACACCAGAACTAAATGGATGTCTAGTGCTTCCAGATTTTCGATGATGGTCTAACGTTGATCTGTTAATGATCTCAAAGAAAACATTATTTTTAATCAGGTTGTTCATCAGTTGGCTTTCTACAACTTTTTAGGTAGCACTTTGGGATTAGGATAAAGTATCTTAGTCTGTTTGCATTCTTTATCTCACTGAATGACTTTATCGCCGTATAAACTACACTGAGACATACATTCACCCAGATGGCTAGTTCCAGGGAAGAGGAAATGAATATTTTGGGTGGCACTGGTAATCAAAATTCAGAAATTTAATAAAACTTCGTGATTTTTTCAAACGTATCAGGGAATAAATTAGCATGACTGTTAAGAAACCAAGCTGTTGGTTTACAAATGGTATGCAAAAACTAAATTCTAAAGGCAAGTACATTTTAAATGAACTTCATTTATGTTTATTTCTTGAAAAATATTTTGCTCATAAGTGTATCATTGTAACTGCCAAAGTCATCACTCGGCTAAGCTATGCATATCAAGTCAAATGACTGAACACTAGGCAATCAGTTTGGCATCTTCATGTGAACTATTCAGCTAATTCATATATGTCTCTAACTTATTTTTAAGCAGAAAATTCAATTCCAAATTATTAGTCAATAACACACACACATACACACGTTTAAATAAGCACACACAAGTGATCTTGCTTATCTACATAGATCAATTAAGTTTCTTTATATAGCGGAACAAACGAATGCTATATAATGGGTTAAATAAAGAAAACAGGAGCAACGGAAGGATTTCGACATATTTGTTTATTTACTTAATTTTTTTTATTTATTTGTCTTCTTTTTTTGTCTTCTAAAGAACCATTCAACCCTTTTAGAGAACCAATTTTGTTTTCTCATAAGTTTTTTTCAAATTGATGGATGTATATTTATATAACCTGTCCAGTAAACACGCGAACTAACATAAAAAAATACTTTACATACGAAATTTCAAGGCACATCAATTTTATTTCCTTTATAGTACTCCTCGTTTATGATTAGACAGTTGCTTCGTTTTTATCTCCGTCAACTAAAACATTCCTAATAGAATTTTTGCCCTTTAGTTAACCAATTGCTTCATACAAATTTTAACTTCAAATATTTAGATACAATTGTATACATAACTGCACGGCACTTCAACAGTATTCACTTTCAAAGTGATTTCATTATTAGAAATCATTCGACACATATTCAATATTTTCATCAACATAGGAGGTTAAAGTTCGTCTCAGTCTTAAGTTCTCTTTACAGGAAGCATGATTCACTTGAAATAATTACTTTCTCTTATCTGTTATTTTTTATAAAAAGCTCTTAATATTTTATGAACTTTGTAACTGTTACCTTACGCAAGTACTAGTAGTTTAGTTCGTATATGTACTAGATAGACTACTTTTTATAATTTATTAAATAATAATCAGGATGAGGGTTTGTGGAGATTGCAGTAATTTAATATTTGAAATCAACAGTCGATTTTAAACTAGACCAGCACGAAATACCTGGAAGCATTGGACGGCCATTTAGTCCTAACATGGAACTCCTTAGTAATGAGCATCCACGATCCTGCACATGGGACTTGAATTTGTTAAAGTTAGACATTAAGATTGTTGGTTGCTGGCTCAGTAGTCAAGAGGTTATGTTCACGCGTGAGATCGAAGGTCCTGGGTTCAAGTCCCTCACGCAAGATCATGGATGCGCAGTGCTAAAGAGTCCCATACCAGGATGAGACAGCTGTTCAGTGTTTTAAGATTTTTCATAGTATCCTAGCTTAAAACCGACTCTTGATTTCAATAATTAAATAATAATCATTATTTTTGACACGATTTGCCAAAGTGAAAACACATAGCTTCCTACTTACTCTTTAGCTTTTAATGATCCTCTAATTAGATTTGTTTCATACTTACAAATTCAATCGATTAAGTAACCAATTCAGTATTTTTAATGGAAGTTGACTTTAGTAAAATCTTCAAAAATTCCCATTTACTCCCTTTTTTAACGTAAGCTATAAGACCAGTCCATTTTCTTTGATTTCATTTAAATTTTTAACCACTATAGTGAACTTACTAATTTAATATATCAAGCCGTTAGGTCAATGAATGTTATAAATTTTGCATTATTTATTAAAATTCGTAAAATACAGTGTTATTCTTTGAAAATATTCCGATCAGTTGATTAGCTTAACATTATTTACCGCTTCCGACTCCATCACTGTCATTTATCTTCTGAGCAGAGAATCACTGAGTAAACGTTTGTGCTATATATCTTCCGTTACCAATTAGTTCAATAATTAGTTCATGATTATGTAAATTATCACTTCGTGTATATCAATTTTTTCAGTCATGCGATGAGAAACGAGTTCATTTAAATTGGGTGTTTGACAATTATCAAGTATGAAGTGACACTGGAAATGTGAATAACTGAATATCAGCCCACTGGTCTTTGGACCATATGTTCGCTGCCAAACTTAATGGTCAGTAGTTCGTTTCGTCTATAGTCCATGAAAATTCACGTAAAACAGAGAACTCTTGCTTAATATTTACAAGTTTTCAATGTTTATTCGGCTAAAGACATTCCATAATGTAAAACTGTTTTTAAATGTGATAAAATCCACAAATACTCTGTATGAGCTTCTGTGTTGCTAAAAATAAGTCTTGTATACGGGGCTATGAAAAGATTGTTCAGTTTTGTTGAATCATATCTACAATATTAATCAAATCAAATATTTTCAACTCTCACCACCAATAATAATTTCCGATGATATTTGATAACAGTTTAACACTTATAAAGCTTGTAGTCTAAGACTAGAGCAAATTCCAACCGAAAAAGCACGGCGCTTTGCGATATGAATTTATCTTTGGCCACCTCTTTGCGGTTCGTTGCTCATGAAACAGTCAATTCAGTGTTTTACAGCCATTATTGTGCTACTTATTTTGATTTAAGTAGTATCAAATAAATAACTAAGTTACCTTTTCCTATTTTTCACCTCGTGTGTCAGGTGAGTGATGAAGCGTATATTTATATTACGTTATTATAATACTGTTATATTAAATTGTCCAGCATTTTATTCATTTTTAATCAACAATTATCTCCAATTATAAGAGAATGAAGTGAAGAAGAAGGAAATAATGTACAAATATTGGTCAAGTATATATTTCACCCACTGAATTGTTACCTGAATACAGCAACTTACTATGAATTAATGATCTGTAGGTTCTTAATTGCTGTATAATGATAATAATAATACATTATTAACTAAAAACACTTTCCCGTATGTATTCACGACCGATCTTCTTGCTGATATGAATCCTTATGAAGTTTAAATAACGCATCTTTAAATGATTGTAAAGTAACTTGGTCGTCTGTTTTCGGCCGTTTATTCCCCAACAATGCCTTATCGAAACTCAGTGCCATTTGCCAGACTTTGTCAAAACTTAGGGGAGTGTTGAATAAATGACACAAATTAGCTTCAGTAAACAGATTCAATGTCTATAATCAGAAATGAAAAAAATCTACGAGTAAAAAATTTGGAATTCGGGAATAGATTATTTCAAAATAGTGATCAGTGTTCTAACTAACTTTAGATTGAGAATGGCTAGTAGAAGTCAACTCACTTGGTGTGGAACAGGCATCGCTTACAGTACGGAACTATAGTTCCGTAATATTGTGAATCAAATGAAGTTAGGAATATGAACCACTAGATGGCACGCCAGAGGCCTCAAGCCAATACTTTGGTGGTTAGACAAAATGACGTCAAGGGTTTTAGCATTCAACTGGATTTCATAGTCTTCAATTCTGAATAAAACTGAACTGAATCATTCAGTCGATCATCAATTAAAATAACTGATGCAAAAACGAAACACATTTACAAAGTAAAAATTCCTGAAGATTGCATCTGAGCAAGCAAACAACTGGATAAAGAGTTCAGGGAATATGAATTATCTGTCGAAGACTTCATTACGTTACTTTGAATAAAATCAGACTTGGAATCCCATTTATCGTGCCATCCCTACATAGAAATTAATTGCGATGTTGACTGTGTCGTCAAATCATTTTCTAGGTTATGGTTACAAAAGACTTACATGTGTGACATAAATGTTTGAAATCGATCGTGCACTAGCTGTTTGATAGAGTACATTAATTTATATAAGGTGTACCAACACACATGTATATTTATAAACATAAGTGTGTTTAAATATACATACAACATTCATATATACAATCATACAACGGATACATATCTGTATTTCTTAGCACAGCTTTAGTCTAGACAAGAAATGATTTAACAAAATAAAGGCTACAGTGATCAACAAAGTTTGAAATTAAAACTACTAGTTTCGATTTGTACCTGTTATATTGGCTGTTACATTAGTTTGTTCAAATAAGTTGACCTGATTTGGATATACGAGTTGAGTTTTTTTTGGATACCCTACTGATAAACTAGGCTTGAAATGTATAACGTGATCTGTGGTGGTCGGTATTCGATATATCCCTTAAACTTCGTATACAATTCGTCTTGATAACCGTCCTATTTAACCCCAACGGTATATTATTCAGAAGGCGAATACGAAGCGTTGATTACGTTTATTTCGAGACCACACACACAGATGTCCAAAATTACAGATGCATTAAACGAGCATTAAGAGTTGTGTCGAACGGCAAACAGGCAAGCGAGCGACTGAGCGAATGTAAGTAATCGAGTACAATCAAGCGATCGAGAAAGCAGTCAGCCATATGAATAACATGGACAGATATATAGCATGTGAAATTAATGAGTAATCGAATCAAATAGGCGGTTAGTAGTGAGACTAGCAGGGTGAACAAATGCGTAGGCCGTAAGCAATATTCAAGCATGCGTATTTCATACAAGCACAAAATAATAATAAGGGTACAATAAATTGTTATAGTGCGGATGGCTTTGTCCGCTAAATAAGTTAGCAAAAAGGGCTTAGCTGAGTTAAATGAGAATAAACCCATTTGCACGTGAGTCGCTATAGATCATCCTGTGTGTGCTAAACATTACAGTCAAGTCAGTAAAATGTATGTGTCATACTAATTGGTTTCTAACTCCTAATGACTTCAATAACATATCAGATATTGATAAGATTTAATAAGTTTTTAGAAATAACAGTAATGAAATAAAAGATGAATACAAATAGTAAAACACTTATCATATTTCCATATTGTCCAAAAGTAATTGAGAAATTGTTTGTGTTATTGTTGATCACTACAGAGATAACAAACAAAAACCTATCTTCATGATATTTTTTATTATTAACAAAAATCAGATGGAAACTTGATCAAGATTAAGAAGTATTTGACATACAGTTTACTATGACTTGCAAGTGTTTAACATCCTTGATTTTATACGAGGCAGTTAATTCACTAAAAATACACAACTAATATAATATTCGTTTGTGACTTCATTCGAGTAAAATGTTCAAACTTTTGGACGGAAAGATCATGTTTACATGTGAGTTTATTATACATAGTGGTAAAGATAAAAATGAATGTACATTTGTAAAATTCAATAATGACTGAGTTGAACTCGATTTCAATTTAGTTAGCAAATTTTATTTTTGACTAACTCGTGTGTGTTAAACAGTTACAATCAATGGCAATGTTCTACATAACTTACTTACGCCTGTTACTCCCAGTGGAGCATAGGTCGCCGATCAGCATCCTTCAACCCACTCTGTCTTGGGCCTCCCTTTCTATTTCTATCCAATCCTTGTTCATTTTTCTCATGTTTGTCTCCATTTCTCAGCGTAATATGTTCTTTGGTCTTCCCCTTTTCCTTTGGCCTTGAGGATTCCAAGTGAGGGCTTGCCTTGTGGCGCAGTTGGGTACTTTCCTCAATGTGTGTCCTATCCACTTCCAGAGCCTCTTCTTGATTTCTTCCTCCGGTCTTTACTTCTAACTAGTCTGTGAGCTTTCCTCCATGCACAATTTTGCAGTTTAATCCATCATAGGAATTCCGTATGATATTGACTATCTTCTGAGGCACGCCTGAGTGTCGAAGAAGCCTCCATAGTGTTTTCCTGTGATGAATTCCATCCGATTGATTGTTCCACAATGAGCCGTAGTGTTACAATTTGGTCTGCACGCGATCGATCCTTAAGGAATCCAGCCTCTTGGTCTTGAAGTTTGGCGTCTACGCAGTTCGTTCTTCATAACCTCACTCAAATTTCCTTTTATTCTAAGCCAAATTAACTTGACTTGGAACAGATAAACACTAAAATGAATTCTAGATGAAACGACTTTGAGGTTAGGACGAACATCTAGACATGAAGATCTTGAGTTCGATCCCTGTTGGGACTTCAATAAAAACATAATAATAGTCATTTTAAGGGATATTGTATACACACTAAATAGTATGAAATCCTTATCATCCAGCAGATTCTGATCAGGCTACTATAATTGAAATAATGTATAAAACATAATGACATAATGAACAGTAAGTGATCTACTTGAATGCTATTACGAGTTCACATTACTCGGTAAACGGAACGAAGGTCAAAGATACAGTGACATGACAGGCTATTCTAATCCGTTGTCCCCGGCCCTGTTAACTAGGTCAAGTAGTCTTGATGGGGTGTAGAGAATGTATTCTACAAGCACCCAAAAAATACGAGGTCACTAAGCACACAAATCAAGTTTGTTTATACAGTGATAGAAACGCCCTTGGGAGGGCCACAAAATAACGTACTAACAAAATCCGTCAAAGATTTCTGAGTGGGAAATGTAGGCTATAAGTCAAGTAAGCGTCTCTTGACGCGAAAACACAAAATTCGAATTCTCAGAATAAAATTACAAAATTAGGACCTTTTTCAACAGTTAGTAGGTTCAACAATAACCGATATAACCCTTAATAAACAATCATTAATGTTTCAAATGGATTTTAATTCTGTTAATTTATTTCTAAAATATTTTGTATAAGATTATATCAATTATGCTGTATAGAAGGAAATGTATTCATTTGGACAAGATAAATTATTTAAGTTATGTAAACAATCATTATTTGACCGTGTTGTGCGTATTAATTCAAGTGACCGATTGCTCAATTCGTACAAATATACCTCTATCACGACATGAACATTAAGAAATGCTCTTATAATAGATATCAACAATTATTTACCTTTGATAACAAGGATTGACTGCCAGTTTCATCTCTACAGCATTTTCTATCATCTTACAAGCATACATTCCAGATAAAGCATAAAATAGTTGATTGATATGATGAGTGCAAGTTATGACTAATAGTCAGGTCTTAATTGATAGAAGAGCTGATTATTTTCCCTAACTTATTTCCAACATTTAATAATGGAATCTTTTAAACTGGTATTTTTTTACTTGTATTTTCACAAAAATTGGACGAAAGGAGCGTCCTGGAGTCCACTACTAGTCACTATCCATCTTTGCTTATGGAATCTTTTTGTTATTAATTCGTATAAAAGCACGTTATTTATTTAAGTGAAGAACCTATTATTAAGGCTGATAATCTTGATGATACAAGTTCAGTCGACACATGAAATAACAGTGCACACCAAAAAATCTAATCTGTATTTCATTAATGAAATAATCTAACTGCTTGATTGACATATAATTCTCATTTAAACATTAAAAACATGAAATTCAGCAAAGAGATCTCATTTCAACGAATTCATTATATATATGAAGGTTTTTTTAAAAATTAAAGTATGAGTTCCGTGAAGACATATAAAGAAGAAATAAACATGATGACGTGATAGAAGGATTGTAATACTAGATTACGTGTTTAGTGGCCCGTGATTTAACTCCAATTAGATCATATATTTATTACTATTGAATGAGTGCTATCGAAATATATATGTCGCCTATCCTCGTATATAATTATCGACTTAGATAGGGTTAATGAATAACGTAACTAAATAAGTCAAATACGAGAATGGATTACGAATACATATAATTCCGTACAATTTCTGATCGAGACAAACGATCGAAGAAACGAAGCGAAGGGAGTAAAGCGAAATGCCGCGCAGTGGACGAGGCGTGTGAGCCAACTCCATTTAATCAAGCGTTTGTCAATATTTATAGTCGCACAAAAATTAGCTACAGACATATGAGTAGGATAAGAAGTGTACATACATACATATAAGAACAGTCAAGGTTGATAAGCGAATTAACATGAACAAAACATGACTCAAGAATAATGGATAAATTGATCTGTTCCGAAGCTAGAATAAGCTATGTGGGCTCAGTATAGGACCATCCAATACACGTGATATGAATATAATAATGTATTAAACGATTGTGTGTGTATGTGAACATACAGATATATGTCTTGATGAGATCGATACTTTGACAAAGATTTTCATATATATTTATACGATTGTACAACTTAATAATGAAGTCGTTGGAGAGAGGACCGCTTTGTTGGATTTCATGTTTTTAACTTTTTTACATTTAAATATTATAATCAGAGAGGGGTTTTGTGGATAATATAATAATTTAGTGATTGAATTCATAGGTCATTTGCACCGAGATCTACACTGGACGTTCTAGTATGGGACTCCTCAGTAGTACGCATTCACGATTCCGTCTAGAGGTTAAGCGCTCGTGCGCGAGACTGATAGGTCCTGGGTTCGAATATCGAGAGGCGGGACCGTGGACGCGTACTTCTGAGGAGCCCCATAGTAGGACGAAACGGCTGTCCAGTGCTTTCAGGTTTTCTATGGTTGTTTAGCTTCAACTGACTCATGAATTCAACTACTGAATTTAATTATTAACTGTAGCTCATATATATAAACTTTACGAATCTTGAAAACTGAACGGTTAATTTGTTTCCTTTATTTCTTCCAAAAAAATAGTCCAAAAAGTTCTATTTATTCAACTAATATCCAGTCAAATAATTTATGTTAGTTATTTTCTAATGACCTTATATACTATCCACACGTACATCAAAATAATGTATCTATAGTAACTAATATTTGATATAAGGACATTCAGTATCTTAGACTTGGTAATTATTTATTGTAAAATGATTGATTTTATCACCTTGATAATATGATGAGTAACTGAAAGATGAAAGCAAATATCGTTGTCACTACAGAAAATATTAAATAAAATAACAACTTTATAAATGATTAAGACGTATAAGCTTTTCTAAGCGTTCTCGAATCAAAAAGCAAACACAACTTTTAGCAAGTAGGTCATAATATAATTGATGGCTAACAGTGAAATTCTAACTGTACATTTGAGCCTATTAACAATTGACTATCCGAATGTATCTACGTTTCTGTTAATGTAACTAACAAGACTTGAACGTAACTAATGAAATACAGTTTAAATATGAATGTTATAATGTTAACTAAATCATAAAGTATAGCTTCGCTTGTCTGACTTGATTCCACAAAGAATAAATAACCAAAAAGTTGAGAACAGATATGTGATACTAAATTGTTTTGGAGTGCTTTGTTCACAGTAATGTGTTTTTCACATTAATTACAGCAGTGAAAGAAATCAGCCGGGAACCTTTGATCTTTTTAAGTGGACATCCTATTGTTGTATGAACAGTGCATTCGAGTTTATTTCCTGTGCCATAAGAATTGATTATAACCACCTACAACTAGATAAAATAAAACGGAAGCAGAGAGCACGGAACAACAAAAGCAATAATTACTATGATAGGTCAGTCGGGTCTACCATAACATGTGTCAGGTTATTACACAAATTAGTTAAGTTTATCAGGGACGATGTTAGTGTAACGTAACAACTGCGCGGAGGTTTACTTAGCATATTCAGTAATAAAAACTATTAAGCATTTGAAGTTACTATAATCTCACTTGTGCAATGAGATATACTTACAGGTGTCAGCACATCTAAGCTGTCTTTAGAAGAAAAGTAAGTATCGATATAGCGGACAAAGGATGTCAGTAATTTTATTTCACGGACAGATTGTGAAAAATGATTCGTGTCAGTGTTATAGGAGTGGTCGAACACAAACTTGACTCATTAAAATACGTGACTCGTTATGGAAGTTATGAATTATGCAAAACATAGGACGTTGGGACTTGGAAGACTCTTTCGAGATCTGTTCCGCGAGGGACAAATTGTAATAGTACCTAAGTCCCAAGTTCACTAGTGAATGTAACTTAAATAATATCTGACCATTTATAGTAAGACCTAATTTGAGCAATGTATGACCGAAGCACATCCACCCGACTGCCATTTTGAGCACCACTAGGCTATCTTACTGAGCTCCATATTGGCGCAACACTGTATATTCTCCAAATGATGAAGGGAAAATGAATACACTACTTTAAGCTCATCTTTATGTAGAAGAGGCTTACCCATACCCATATCACTGGTATAGACTAAAAAAAGCAAATGACTTAAGACATTACTAAAAATCAATTTAAAATTATTATCTTGCATGGTATAATGTGTGTTGTGCACCACTATATCCTGACTTGTTTCGCTCAGAACTAGTTAAAACTCTAGTATATATATCTGTTGGCGTGATCCAGAAAACTTCCTGCAAAAGACAAGAAAGGCTCAGGAAACACTAAGAAGCATTTTATCCAATCAGCGTTCAGTTGAAGTTTAGCCAGAAACATCAAGAAAGTGAAGAGTCACATGTAGAGTTTCTGAATGGCTGATTACTATATTGCTACTATGTTTAGTAGCGTCCCAGAATTTTCGGGAAACCCAAGGACATCTAAAATACTATAAAAACCCCATATTTTCTGCACAAAAACGAACCTTTGGAGTAAAGTACTTCTCGCATATTTTGCGCCTTTTCTCTAGTGTTCAGGTCGCTGTGTAGTTCTAGCTTGAGAGTTACGAGAATAACGTTCAATTAGCAAGACTTATCAATATCAAAATGTATTTAATCTAATCTTACTTGAGTAAATGAACATTATTGAGTTTTATTTTTACCTACTGGAACTGATTATATAAAACCCAATAAGGGAAATCAAATAATCAGTTCATTCACACTTGTCACTGACATTTTTATAAACTCATGAATATCAAATTATTCCGGGTGGTAGACAAAACTTTTCAGTGAAGTTGTATGTAGTTTTACTTAGATTAAACTATTCCCTGTAAATTTAACATTTATTTACGAAAGTAATGCTTGTATTTTATTTATTTGAACACATAAATATTGGTACAAAGCGGCACCGAATACACTTGCGCCACACAAGTCACTTGATTTGTGTATAGACTGTGATACTGCCCGGGTGCATAGATCGAAGCAGGTGGTTTTCTTGGGGGGCCACACCCAGAGCCTTCGGCCTAAAGGTCTGATCCACAAGACAGTGGAGCAACGTTTAGAGATGCAGTCCCACGGTAGTCGGTGGCCAACAATAACTTCATAAAACATTTGTTCCCTCAGGATCCTGGAGCCCATGTACACCATTGGTTTGAAACCAAGGTTTTCCAACTCCCTTGGGTGGACCCTTCACATCCACTAACCCGGTTAAAGCGCTGGACATTCGCTTTTCGTCCGCTCAACTTCGTAAGCAACACCCCCGCCACACGAAGGCAGTGAGTACGACTTCCCTGGAAACATTTGTACATGCGTGACAATGTGAGAGCATTTCGAGAGGGAGAGTTAACTCTCCCCACCCTCATCCGTACCAGGACATTGGGGAGCCAACATTTCCATACTCAGTTTTCGATAGACCATCTTGTGATATGATAATTAACCAGGCAATTTATCAATAAAACCAAATCTGATATGAAATTTACTAAATAATTATAAAATCACTTATGAAAATAAAATCAAGAAAATTGTTTTCTTGGTCACTGACCGATGTGCATTCAACCAATCCCTTCAAGACTTTAGGTATATCACTCCAGTAAGTCATAACTAATAAAGAATCTATAGGGTTCCTGTCTTCAATCACTTAATATTAATTGAAATCACAGCCCATCAGTCTGTTTCTCTAATCTAATTTTTTACAATTCATAAATAAATAACGTAAAAAATAAATCTTGTTCTCTTTGGGATAAACTCAAGTGATTGTGAGTCTACTGAGTGTGTCATTCAAGTCAATTCGAGCAATCAAACGTTGACATTATTTGCCTTCAAATGAAATACTATGAGGTTAAATTCTAGTACAAGACCCTGTAACTGATTAATTAGTTACATTACTGCCAATGCTATCGAAAATTTAAATATGATCAAACTGTTGAAGAAAACAAACTAACATCTTGTTTATTACGTAGAGTTAGTAGATCTCTGTTAGTTAATCCATAGTCTGTGAATATACTTGGACTTATAATTGATCCAACACCAGCTTCATCACCGTAATATGCGTGATCAGTAGTTCTACGAAACTGATAAAATGCAAAGGAACAAGATAAACACATATATTATTTGGTCTATTTGAATACAATCAACAAATAAAATGGTATATATTTTAAATGTTTCCCCCTTTCAGTCCAAAAAATGTTATTACTACTTGTTGAAAAGGTTTAAAATCACTTTGATTACCAGTATAGGGGTTGTGGTGATTATCAAGTTTTGGGTTGAGATCATGAACCGACTGATGTTAGATCACCGTTGGAAACCTGGAAGCAGTGGAAGGCCGTTTCGTCCTATTGCGGGACTCCTCAGTAGTGCGCATCCACGACCCACATCGCGGGATTCGAACCTAAGGCCTTCAGACTCGCGCGAGAACACTTAATCTACTGAACCACTGAGCCGGCATCCAATGGTGTCAATGTCTAACATCAACCAATCCACGAAATCGCGCGGTGGTCTAACATCAATCGGTTCATGATCTTAATCACTGATTAACTTGAAGATATTCTGTTTCTCACGATTAATATTTATAAGAGTGTACTTGAAAACCAGGGAGCACTGGATATATGTTCGATTTTCTCTGTGGAAAGCTTGCTATTATGTATTTCCCATTAAGATTCTTAACTCCCTTTCACTTTGGTATGGGACATCTCAACATTGTGTAATCACGAATGTCTCCACTGATCAGACCCAGAACCTTCTCATCTCATGACAAGCACTTAATTAATGACACCATTCGGATGCCATCACATGGTAAAATTTCAGCTCCAGTTATTTCGATATCAGTTTGAAATCAGTCTGTGACCAATATAATTGGTTTAGAATAGCTCACACCAATCACTAATGTTAAATGAACAAGTTATATGTAAAATAGTCTCAGTGATTAAAATTTAGAATATCCCAACGTTGAAATTATTTAAATTTCAATCGTCGACATCATCTCAGTATGATACTGATATTTTATGTCTTTTACATAGTGAGCGCCCAGTTTCTAACAAATTATTCCTTCGAATTTTGAAGAATGCTCATTGTTATATATTCAAAACCAAGTAAAATGTTGAGGTGTATGTTGTCAGGTTCAACCAGTCTCTCTCAATAAGTCATTAGTAAATGTTATAATAGACCTGGTTACTTCTTCAGTCCACGAGTCGTATTTTCTTGTACCAGATCTATTAGATAAATAATTCAAGTAAAAACCAAGTCTTCAAGTTACGTAATTGATTTTAATAAACCTTATTGACATATAATTTAAATTCATGAGTCAATTAATGCTAGATCACCATAGAAAACCTGGAAGCACTGAACGGCCGTTTCATCCTAGTGTGAGACTACTCAGGACTTCTAAAGAATCCAACTATCAAAATTACTATAATATCCACAAAATCCCCTCTCTGAATATAATTTAAAGTTAGTAAATGATTACTTTTCACAAAATTGACATATCGCGACCATTAAAGAATACTTACTACTTAAGGGAAAAAACTCGTATTATGATAGGACTATAATTGTTATAGCATTTTGTTTACCTTGAAAAATGTGGCATTTTACCTTAGGTACTAATTTATCAAGTTGAAGGCTTTTTTCACCAAGGATTTCCCAATTATCTGTATTAATTAATCCATTAAGATTACCAGTGTATATGGAATTTGTTGTTGTCCAATGATGAATATTTGCTTGAATAGCACGTTGAAGACGACTGCGGACATTTTCAGTATCTATTATTTAAAAAAATACATTTCAATAAAATTAACTATTGATAGTCATTTCTAAGGACTTATATTTGTTTGGCATATATTGTTGGCTAACATAACTCAGTCAACTAGTGAATAAAGCGCCTGTGTTTGAAACAATGAGTACAGGATTAGAATCTCAACGTACCAACGATACCATGATATCAATGAATCAATCTTACAAACCTTAAAACGCCTGGGTTTCCAATTTTACATTAATCCACTATTCAAAATATAAATCTGAATATATTTCTGATCAAAAATCAGAATGAATTGAAATCCAATCAACAATGAAATGAATGATAAACAAGAGAAAGTGATTAAGCGAATAGATTTCTTTTGGGGACGATTTCATTCTTAAAGCTGCAAGTTGCCAATAAATAAAGTTATTTAAAAACCTCATTATTGATAAAAGATAATTTTGTTCATAAACTACCCGGGTATTTCTAAAATATTAGAAATCTTGATGACAACCTGCTTCGAGAAGAATTTTTTGAAGTTCTAATGAGAAATCATGACCACTTGATTTCAACCAAGTGTATAGAATGAAACAGAAATAATTGGTTTTTTCATTTTTTCTTTTACTCATAAACTGAAGATATGAACGTGAACTTTTGAGTGTTAGCCGACTCACTGGTCTGAAAGAGTCGTATTAGCTTCAATACATGAATGTTCCATTCAGATAGGAACTACATTCTCATTACTTTTTCTGGATGTCAACATTTTCTTCAACTGAACAAATCTCTATCTAATCATGTTAATTCTTGATAGAAATTATTATTACAAGCTTATAAACTTAAAATTTATTCATGCACTAACTTAATCAAGAATCGTTGAATAAATTGGCGGGTAAGCAATCAACCTACTGTAATAATATTTCCTAACTTGAAACAATAAGGAGTAAATACATTTTTACCATAATAGTAGGTTTAACATTATCATCCTGATCTTTCACAGTTCAAGAATGTTTGGATATGATAGCGCATGCCTTTACCACTTATCCTTATTAGATACTCGCTCTTAAAATACTATTCTGTGATATTGATCAGTTTAGTTGTCTTTTTTGAAGCATAACTGCTCTTCCTTTCTTCATACTTCGGGACTTTTTATAGCGTGTTGTTGTGTAGTGCTTGTTCGATTTATCGGCAAGACAATAATTAATGGACGAGTCAATCAGAAGTGTTCGGGGAATTTCAAGATCACGGAGTCAATTTCAGTACTTGATGCTCACGTACGATCGGTTCACAGTGGATTTGAGAGAAAACGTGATAATTGAGCAACTACAACAAATGGGACTACTAAAAAGTTCCTTCATTTGTGATTGTGGTAATCAAATGACTTATGAACCTTGTGCGGACTACCGTAATGGTGTTGTTTTCCGATTTAATATGTGACGGAGGAAGAAGTCTGCTAGAATATGATTTTTTGGCTCGATCAAGATCAAGACTATGGTAAACTATGACTGAATAAAAAAAGCATCCGTAACACTGACTGCTACCGGGTACTACAATATATACAGGTGATTGGAGAGTGTACAGATACTTACATAGACTTGATTATTTGCATCGTGTCGTTATCCACAAGTGATATTTTTTGAGCCTAACAACCGGAGTGCACACAAACACTATTGAAGCTATGTGGTTGAGGCTGAAAGGGTTTTTGCGACCTTATCATGGCTCCAGATGCCGACTATTATCAAGCCATATGGATGATTCCCTCTACCATATGCATTGCGATTTAAGAACCTCTGAACCTCTTTCGAACCTTAACAAGTTTTTAAACCATGTAAAAGAAGTGTATTCACTTTAATTCTTTGGTTTTGTATATATTTTTACTCTACACTAGGCGTTTTCTGATTGGCTAATGTTTGTCAAGGTCACTTAAGGTTCGTTCAAAGGTCGTCCATAAATTATAGTCTCGCAGATTTATCTAGTTGTATCAAATCGGCTTTTATATTAGAAATAACTTCCGTAACGATATTTTCGTCATCAACTTATACAAATCACATTTACCTAGTCAAAAAATAATCTAAGAATTTAAGATAACATGATGTCTATTATTTATAAGGTAAAGAATGAATATTAACTCAACCAAACTAATGATATACGACAAGAACACCTCAACTGTTGGAAAAGCACGCTAACACAGATCTCTTACAAAATAGTTTTTGCTATTCTTTTAGAAATTTAAAATCATGGTGCATCAGGTCCTTGTGTAAAGTCACTCATTCATCTTTTAGTGGCCCGTTGATCTGACTCCATTTACATTGTACGAATGTTTGTTATCACCTATTCTCGTTTATCATCGTCGACTTAGATCGCGTTAGTCCATAACGGAATTAAATAAGTCGATTAACGAGAATGGCATTTGAATACATATATTTTGTATATGAAGTGAATGAAACAGAGCCAAGCAAAATGACGCACAGGGAGGATGGCTGGGAAGCCAACTCCCTTTTAATTAAGCGTTACTCAGTATTTATAGTCAAACAAAATAAGCTACAGACATGTGATGAATCATGGGACATGAAGTGTACACTCATATACGCTCATATAAAAAAAACAGTCAAGACTGACAAGCGAATAATTGACAAGGTCAATATATGGCTCAAGTAAAATGAATAAAATAGGATGTCCGGAAGTTAGAATAAGGTACATGGGCTTGCCATAATAACTGACACTACATAGCCCCCTCGTAGAAAATAGCACATTTAAAAAATGTCTGTTTTCGAAAATAACACTGAAGTGATATGAAGCTAACGTTAAAAATAAGTAGCCAAAAAATTGTACAACACTCAATAAAGTACAGTGTCACATGAGGGGTGAGTGTATTATATGGAAATGTCATGCTTATGCAAAAAAATACATGAATATCGCAAAGGCTCGGACAAAAATGAAAATGTTAGCATGTGAATATGAGCAAATTAATGAGCGTACAAAAAATTAACATGTACTAATGCTATGACTGTCTGAACGATAAAATAACACGTTTGTATGAGTGATTCAAAGTATCGTGAAAACAGTAATAAATTGTTTGTAGGTATAACAGCGAAATAAATCGTCAAAATGGCTAGAGTAGAATATGACAGAAATTGGTCTGTGATGCTGACAAAATAGTGAAATATGAGAAATATATGTTCTGTTGAGCCGCAGCAGAATAAATCGCATTGACTAGTGATGAGTGAATTCGAATTCAAATGCGTAGGATGATAATAGGAAAGTCGTGAAATATCTGCACCGACGGGTGATATTCGTTGCTGTACTGCAATTGATAATAATCATAAAATTTGAAGTCAGTGAACGTTGTCGTCTGCGTTATGACAGATGCATTGAGTCATCGTTAAATATGTATTAGTAGAAGAATGACCAGAGGAACAGAATAGTGACTGAGTAGACAAGGTACGTAGAGTCGTATTCCTTTTTGGTCATGAAGCCTAGAGTGGTTTGTGTGATTTGAGGGAGATGCGCTCGATCTCGTTCGTTACAAAACCGTACCAAGGCATGACAAAAATACCAATACATATGATTAGTGATGGCGACGTATGAGACTGACTTGGATGTGACGAACAAGAGTGTATCTTTGAGAGGCTAGCTCTAAACTCTATGTTCTGATATGCAGTGCGATGGAAATAGAATAGTAGTTGCAGTACTCGAATAGCGTTTTTGAGTGATAAGTGATGCAGCATGTGGTTATGCACGTGGAAGAATAGATAAAATGAACGCAATGGTTACTAGTCAGCTAGTTAGATGCATACACAGACATAATAGGAGGCGATTTCGAAATGAAAAATGTATGTTGTGATAACATAAATTGCGGACCTCGACTAAGTGAATGAATGCAATATTAGATCAAAATGACATGGAAAAATTGGAACGAACTCACTTAAAGCAGGAAAATCTCACGTTTTTGAATAGTAAAAATATTCCAATGAGTTCCCACAAAGTGGAGTGGAATTTTCATAAAATGATAATTTGTTCGGTGAGTAATATGACTGCGAAAATGTCATGATTTAATGACAGCACGAACAAGATTAATAATTCCACATCCGATCATGATATTGGCAATAATGTAATAATAAGTATACAATGATAATTTGAATCGTAATGGAACAATCCGACAAATGTATCAATGAAGATAATTGACATGAGGACAAAGTATGGATAAAATAATACGACTTGAGCATGGCCATGTCATGTTGCACAGGCTTTGCTGAGTGCGTTGGATTAGAGATTGAGCAGGACCCGTTGAGTGCGTTCGTCGAATGTATCAAGTGCAGAAATCTCTTCATCGACGTAGCTTGCTGCGTTGCGTTCGTCGTCGGCGGGCTTACCACTTTTGTGGCCCGTTGATCTGACTCCATTTACATTGTACGAATGTTTGTTATCACCTATTCTCGTTTATCATCGTCGACTTAGATCGCGTTAGTCCATAACGGAATTAAATAAGTCGATTAACGAGAATGGCATTTGAATACATATATTTTGTATATGAAGTGAATGAAACAGAGCCAAGCAAAATGACGCACAGGGAGGATGGCTGGGAAGCCAACTCCCTTTTAATTAAGCGTTACTCAGTATTTATAGTCAAACAAAATAAGCTACAGACATGTGATGAATCATGGGACATGAAGTGTACACTCATATACGCTCATATAAAAAAAACAGTCAAGACTGACAAGCGAATAATTGACAAGGTCAATATATGGCTCAAGTAAAATGAATAAAATAGGATGTCCGGAAGTTAGAATAAGGTACATGGGCTTGCCATAATAACTGACACTACAATCTAAAAAAACCAGATAAAGCAAGCTGCGTTGAATATGTTGGCAAAAATCATTAAGGACTTATCCATTCCTGGTTTGGTATAGTAATAATTCAAACTGCGAAACTAATACTTTTGGGTTATTATTACTACCACATGGAACTATACTTTAATGAAATACTTTTCGAACTTAACGTACCCTCATAACATTCTGGTTTAACAATACTACTATTATTATTACTAGTAATAGTAGTAAAACCAGAACAGCGATTTCGCATAGATTTATCATTATTCCAATTCAATAATTCACTTAATTTACACCAATCAATTGCCCAATTAATCATATCATTCTCAATATGATAATGTTTCTCATTATTTATATTGTTCGCTTTATTATGCTTTATACATTCTTTAACATGTTCAATCATTTCATTTGACGCTGGTACTGTGATTAAATCAAATAAATGTTCCGTTAACTCTTCATCTAATGGTACTTGAAAATGATTAAAAATTTGACGTGCATCAATCATTGGAATAAGATTCGACTAAAGTTTTTTTGAAAAAAGAAAAAAAAATATGTACATAATTACTTCGGTGCTAGAAACTCATGTTTACTTAACTTAATATTCAAGACTGAGTGAAAACAAGGTATGTGTGTACATGAAATCTAATGTATAGGTTATATTATTATTTTCATAACTATTGATTATCATAAACTCTTAGGGAATAAAGAACAAGTATGCTTTCTTTCAACTTACAACTTATTAGGCTCATAACTCCACTATCTTTTAGATAACACAGTTTATTTTCGTCAAATCAATTAGATTAGTAGCTCAATGAAAAATGCTGTACTTGTCATATCTCCATTTGTGAAACAAAATATTCTCGAGTTAATCCAAAACGGCAATAAGAGCACCTTTCTGAGAAAAAGCTTTATAAAAGATTGAATTTTCTTCTCTTGTTCCAAAATCGGCAATCAGTAGACGAGGTAGGGAAAATTAGTTCACAGAAAGTCTAGGCTTGTCTAGAGAGGTCGCGTGACGTCTAGAAAGACAACCAGTCACCTCCCATCCGAAGTCGCGAACGAGATATTTCTGAGGAGGCATGGGTTGGAGGAGGTAAAAATGTCTGAGCTAAGGTGTCTGTGCCTGGGGCAGAAAGATAAATTTACAAATTTGGTTCTTGAAATTATACTTTCTTACCAGTCTCAGTTTTCTAATTTCGGATAGGGGCTTTAGTATTATTTAGGAAGCATTTATTGCGAATAAGTCGGACCCCCGAATCCAATGCTCACTGATTACATTTGTTTAAAATCGGGTGATTATGAAATTAGTTTTCTAAAGTATCGCACTTTCTTCAAAACTCTCAGATCTTGATTTCAATACCCAAAAACGTCGTCCGTAAAACTACTAGTTAGTCTCAATCTATTGTGTAATAGCTGTCCGTTGCTTTCTAGACTTCACTAGTTCTCCTGATGTACATTTTGGACAAAATTCCTTCCCAAGCTGTGAAATTCCCTGCAAAATGCTTTAGTGATTTTACCATATACATATGCTTAAATGAAACAATTAGAAATACGATTAAAACGCAATTCCAATAGTAACAAGAGGTACAAATGCTACAATGAAAGGCAGGGCACTTGTACTCTCTAACACATCAGGCTAGGGAGTATCCACTTGCATGAAATATAGATTCAGAGTTTTCAGCCTTAATGACAGTGGTCTTTTTTAACTTGTTATAGCCGATTATAAGCAGTCCCTTAAATTTATAAAAACACATAGACCTCAACGAGAAATATTTGCAAGTACGTTCAATTGTTGCATACTGTTTCAAACAGAAAACAGACTTTTACCGAATTTAGAATAACAAATATTTTTCATTTATAAGTTGTCTTCACTGATTACAAAAGTAAGATATGATCAGATATTTTTCAATGATTTTTCATTCCCTTGACTGGATGAATTATTCCTAAAGCTTTATCTCTTTAAATAAAACCTCTGAAAAATTGGTGAGATAGAGCAAAAAGATGACTAGGGAGTTTATCAAGGGTATAACATTCAGGTCACTCACTATTCGGTAAAATTGGATGGTATTGGATAGAACCAGTCCGTTTTTGAATAAAAAAGGACTGATTATCATGTAAAGTGTTGTATTTTAAACTATGTAAAACAGCACAGTCAAACTGGATGCACAAACAATGACAACACAGTTATTGATAACATTCACTCAAATTGCATTTTGACAACATAAACTACCAATTATTTGTGGTCGAATTTCTGAAAACTTCCGTTGATGGCTGTGTTTAACTACATCTAATGAGAGCTTCATGGTTTATCCATTCAACACAGATAAAGCAACACCACTGATATTCTTTCTCTGTGATAAATCCTCTTCAACCAGTCAAATAATTAGGTTGTGACGAATAATTTTCATACAACTTAAGCTTTATCACAGTTACTTGATACGAAATTACAACAGAGAATCCACTGTTACTCATTATATCCTTCTGTTAAGATTTTCATAAAGATCCTTTTATTTTATTACTGAATTTCATCATAGATTTATACCAGTTGAAATATCGTTGCCAATCACGAAGCATTATACATCTATTTTGTCCTTCCTCCGAATAGTAATTTAAACCATAGCCTTGATACCACTGGAACAGAATCTAATAATCTGTTTTTTTAATTTCAATCTATTTGTAGTATAGACCAGTGATTAATCATTGTCTTACTCCCGATATCACTGAACTCCATTGATCATCTCAAAAACATGTCTAGAAGCAAGTTCCTAATGTACTGGTGAAATCAATAAGTAATCAAAACCACGTACGTCTTCACTGACTTACCTTATTAGCTAGTTGACAAAGAGTGGCGATAATTTCTGGTCCATGTGTGTAATGTGCTTTTCTAAGAGCATGATGAATAACCGACATTATTAATTTGAACCTATCACTGTACTCTGTGTATTTTTTCTTGTTGAATTCACTTTGTTTATCAATGCTACTGTCGTCAGTATATAATCCAGATATATTTCTTGGTAATAAACCATGTAGTAGCTGGCCAACTGCAATATCATTAGTTTTATTAATTAACCCAAATATATGATCATCAGGAATTTTCATTGTATCACGTATTCTAATTTTAACAATCAGAATATAATGTCATATGATTAGTCATGAGCCACTTCATTATTACCAATGCGAATAAGCAAATAAAAATAATAAATATTACTTTTATAATACTTGTTCTTCATTTGTTTCCTGTTCAATTCATACGGAAACTGGGATACCTAACTTACTTTAACTATTCATCACATCAATCATAGTTATTCTCTTTGAGATATAAATTTTCAGTTAACTATATACATCACAAAGTATCGAAAAAATTGGTTAACAGATGAAGACTGTTGCTCCTAATACCGTCTAATGTTACTTTGATAAGTAAACTGAGTTAACACATGCGATTGTAATGTTCAGTATTCCTCGTTATCTAATTTGTCATCTGATGAATCTAAAGATGGATTTAAAATAAATAACCTCATGTAAAAAGTTAACGTATGAAGTATGCCTAAAAGTCTCGAATCATTTCACATTGTCAGTACAATATTGCTAACACTTCAAAATAAGAAAGGCAAACTACGTACACACACATTTCGACTTGCTAGATTCAGTCACCTCGTCCTGAACGTCATTTCATTCAAGTTTTTACTGGTTATTCCTCAAAATTACGTTGGAAGGACGCTTGAGGCGGCCAAACTAAGTCATGGGATCATTCCATGAATTTGCTGATTGTTGAACTCGAATGTTTGCAAAGGTGTAGATGTTTTATCTCCGACACGATCAATGATAATGATCAATGGTCGTAAAAAGTGGGTGGGATATAAGCAGAGATAGATAGTGGCTAGCTGTGGGATCCAGAACGCACGTTTCGTTCGAGAATTCGCTCTAGATTTCATTACTAGCCACCATCCATCTCTGTGTAAATTGCTTGGGACTTACTGGCAATATCGAGACGATCTATGCAGGATGCATATATATGTCAAAAAGAGACTGATCAGTTTCTGTCCTAACACATCAATGGGAAGATTCAGGCAGCCAATACAAATAAAGTAGATGAGATGGTTTAAAATCTATCATAGTGGCACAAACGAATAGGTTCTTATCTCTCCACTAGATCTTCAGTTTCAATAATGTTTTACATATTTCCCATATACCTTACTAATTTCATCTCACTGTGTCCATATGGTACAGCGATTCAGTCTAATGTTTGCTTGAACTAGGTATTATGTTATTTCAGCTTACTGAATGATCGATATTTCAGTTATTGTCAACTAAAAATGCCACAGTGCGATAGATGTTCGAAGGGTGCAAAAGTCATCAATTTATAAAAATAAACTAGTGGCCTCAAATTATTCTTTACAGCATAAAACGTCCAATCACTAACTTTGTATTGTAACTAACTAGTGGTTTGCTCAATAAACAAAAGTTATTGATGCAGAATGGTGAGGGTGATATTTTGTTAGAATTCCTAATTAAATAACTAAAACCTGCTACTCATCTCAAGTATATTTGTGTTTTGTTTAGAGGCATTTTGATAAACATAGTTAAGATTTATTTAAATATTCTCTGTAACCTTATATCTTTCTTAAAACAACATATACACCTTAAATTAAACGATCACTTGGTCCTCCAAAATATCATGTACCAGTTTAAACATATCACAATGTTGTCTCGAAATATCAGCAAATACTTGCGTTTACTCTAAAGCTCAGGTGTAATAATAAAATAATTATATATATGCTAGGACGTGCTTCAGTTACGAGATCAGATAGTGAGCTTTGGACCAAATAAATGAAATTTATAAAAAGCACTTTCAGATGAAAATTTCCAGCACAATAAGGCATATAATTTACTATTTAAATCATATGACATTTATGGAAAATTCATTTCCCTCAGGTTTTTATTGAAATCATCAATCATTGGATAGTCACTCTAACCGTTGAAGCTACCGTTTGTTTGCTTCAGTTATTTCAATGACTTCCCTATAGTGTTTTTTTTCTCTTAAAATGCATTAAGAGAGATATAACACGAGGTCAGTTCATTTTGACTTTTCCCCACTATTCCAATACAGTTAATGCGCTTTAAAAATGGAATCACAAGGAAAATACCTATTGCTTCGTACGTAACTATTTCGTAATACACAGTAGTGTTTGAAAAAAATAACTTACGGATCTCTAACTTTACCCAAAATATCACCATGCTTCATTTTGTGATCACTTTGTGTTTTGTTCATAATGGCTATGTTCTGATTGTTAGAATCACTAAACGTCCAATTCATAGCTCGACCTACGTGTATTCCACGTGGGTCACACTTTGTATGCATACCAAAAACTTGTTTATCATTAAAACTTGGTGTGTTGATAATTGTAATTAAAAAAAGCAATATGATCAGTAGTAATGTTTATTTTAACAATAAAATTGTGTAAAATGTCCCTGAGGTTTTTTATCTACGCAGCTAAATAAATTAAGGATTGAAAAGATCCTCAAAATCGATATATTTAGTTAGATAAATTATATCGAAGCATATTGTCAGACGATGACTAAAAGTAAAGCCTACAAGTATTTTCTCCCGTAGAACACTCGTCAATCTACATTTGGATGTCTATATTCCTTCCTAGGGCTTGAACCCGGAAAGACATATCGATTCAGTGCCAAACTTAGCAACGTGAAGCGATAACTCCTTGTAATTATTCACCACAATGAGTACCTACAAAATATCTCAGTAATTGGCTACTCCAATGCATGAAAACTCTCCGGGATAATTTTAACTAGGTGATTCATCATCTAATCTATAACTTATGGGCGTGAAAAACTGATCTCAATGTTTTATTTTCTGTGTATATTGGTGTACACCACTTCATGTGCGATATCAATTGAACGCGTTGGTCTTCACGTCGTATGTGCTACGAGCTTACTTTAACAGACAAACTACTGAAGAAAAGGTAGTAGTAGTGAACAACATCGACTATTCAGTAATGTGTACCCTGGGATTTAAAGTCTCACAGCGTGCATATTGCCTTTGGATTACTTAAGTTAAATCCAGAGCATCATATTTCTAATGCCATTCATTTCACAAAACAACATGACGACCAACCACTTGCCTCATTTATAATAGTCTTACTCGCAATACGGTTCACCTCCATCAGTCGAAAATTCACACCAGAACCTTGGAAATTTATCTCAACATTAATCACCACTGAGTCCATGATTATCTTTTAACTCGTCAGTTCTAGACTAATGACAAATTATGAGTTTGCGAAATTCAGTAATAGTTCAAGTTTTTCATGGTTCGATTTAGTATTTGCTTATTTAATTAGCAGTGCGTTGTAATCCTTTTATCAAAATAAAGCACATATGAAGGTGGTATTTAAAGTCATATATTTAACTTTAATTACTCAGTTGTATGCTTCCACATTTTACCTCTTAAATAAATCACAGGCGTCAGGAACTTATAATAAAAATCTGATCTTTGTTTTCAGAAAACGTCCATACACCCTTCTTCACAGTTTGCTTTTTATTTTACCGCTCACGCAACTAGTTTAATAAACTGTCACTTGAGGCTTTACCTCATTTTTTGTCAAATAAGGTGCTATTGCAAATTTGTGGTACACATTTAAATGACTGGTTACCATTAGTCCTATGTTCATTTTTATTCGTAAATGCCAAATCAACATAGATTTACGTAGTTGTAGATAGTTTAAAAAAAACCTTGACCCTAAGTTACATTTCAGTTGTCACTTGTTACCAAGACGCATCTAGAGTGCTGAATGGATTGATGCCCTCTTAAATATCTGGACCCAGGTGAACCAGTCTCACAATCTGTGACTTTGCCAATGAGCCATTTGAACTACAGCGGACCTCCTGTGAAACTGAGGTATTTGCATTGATTAACAACTGAACTGCTATCATTTTTATATTTGTATCGGATTGAGTGATGACTGCATTTTACGGATAAAACTCCAGGTAAGCCACTTGTATGGAGCTTAGATTAAGAATATCTTTTCGATTACATATGAGAACCTAACATCAAAATATTTCATGTGATAGCAAGTTACTTGAATTAGTGGTCAAGCTGCAACATTATTTACAGAATTTAATTGGCATCAAAGTGGGAGACAAACATGAAATTATTCACCACTCAGTAATCAGTCATTATAAAATGAAACTTATCTTAGTTGAGAGCCATGATGATAAAGATACAATTAAGGAGTTATATTTCCTCGATTATTTTATATTTTTAAGAGATGTATACCTCATAAACTCACTAATCCATACATGTTTTAACAGTAAACATTATTTGCAGATATGCAATTTGACTAACTTTTTATAATTTCTATGCGCCTGCTCACCAGGGGATAAATGTTTATGCGAAATGAGATAATGTTGATGATTCTCTAATTCTTCATTTGTAATATCAATACGTTTTCTTCGTGGGTTTATTAAATCTCCGGCTCTTTCCCCTAGATAAATGAGAATTCCGGTTACATTCTGGTAACATAGCAATCAAGATGATGGCATTAACTTTGTGACACAACAGTACTTGATTTCTTGTGAGACTCTCTATACTTAAAATGAGGTCATGAAAACAAACAACCGGATCCATTTTCTTGCTTAACTTGATCTTCGATGCAAAGATGATTTCATTTGACAAGATAAGTCAGCAATTATAAAAATAAAGTTTTATCTAATATTATTGTTAAAATATCGTAATTGCATGCTTCCTTTTTACTCAAGCTGAGCACACTTGTATGTTTTAACCTTTATGGTCATTTAACTTTTTGTCTGATTGAACAGGATAACTAAGCTGTCATTGTTGTTAAAGAGTACCTTTTTCTCTAATATATCCAATTATTGTATATAGTTTCAAAAATTAAACTGACATTCCACTTTGAAGATGAACATAAAACAGTAGGACATAAGTGAAGTTAAAAAGACCATACAATGAAGGTGAACGGATATTGTTCATCATGTCAGTCTATTCTTTAGATTTAACAGATCAATAAATCAGTTTTTATTTTGTGTCCTAATAACAAATTACAACACCCAAGGTAAATATTTCTTTCTAATTTTTAGTAAACGTAAACAATGTAGACCTCGCATGTTCACTCATCACTACCTTTTTACGATCAGTACATTTATTTAATTATCACGTTGACTTTACCTTTTTCATATATCATTCCAAATGTTGTTTTATATTTATCCAAATAAGGTGGTAAATCTTGTATGAATGAACATCCAAGTGGCCGTTTTTTAGTTGAAGCATATATTGCTTCCTGATTTCTCGTAATTATTTCACTTAATAAAGTTTCTTTTGTTGGTCTAATTAAATCCATGATTTCAGTCCTGAAAAAATTAAGATGAATAAACATAACTAAACTGGGTTAATTTGAATCCAAATATGTCGCAATATTTAAAACTACTCAATCAGTGAAACTGCTCTACTTCTTAGCGATTTTTTGTAAACAGTGTTCAGTGCCATGTCATTAATAAATGCTGACATTTGTAGTATGTGCGTTGTCAGTTAGCATATATTCAGCTGATAGGTTTGCGGAAATTAGTAAGAATTATGGCTGGGTTTTATCACAGATTCGTGTAAGCTCGGCAGATATTACAAACCAAAGAACACTGTACACCCATTTGGTTGTAATATATGACTAACCAACAATTTCCACTCACGATAGTAAGCTCACCATATTTAGTGACCTATCTTTTAGTTACCCATAGTTCAGAGATGTAAAATGCCAATTACTTGTGGTTGTTGTAAATCCTTCATTCTTGACGCTTGGTCTCGTTGGCATAAAAATGTACTTGATGCACCACTCTGTAGTACACTTGACACTTTATAAGCAGTATAGCGTGTTGTTAACCTCAAATCATGAACTGGTCAATGTTAGACGACCATTAAAAACCTGCAACCAATGGACGGTGGTTTTGGCCTTGTATGGAACTATTTTTCAGTGTTCATCCACGATCCTACACGCGGGCCTCAAACCCAACATTCTTCGCATCACACGAGGACTATTAACCTCCAAACCACTGAGTTTGTATTCAACGGTGTCAATCTTTAAAGCCAACCAATGCCATGCTAAGGCGAAACCACTGTTCGTCGGTTTCAGGTTTTTGATGATGGTTTCAAATCTATAACTTCATGATTTCAATGAAATTTGAACAATTTCCACAACCTCAAACAGACGATTTTAAAAGTTGCCCTATATATCCAAGCCGGCATTTTGTTAGTACTCAGCTCATCATGACTAGAGCGGCCCTGGAAAAATTTAAGTAACCTTAACTTCAAACATTTTAATTTCCTTTCCTCATAAAAGATATTTGTGCGAACCGCTTTCAAGAACTTGGTATTATTAGTAATCTATTTTTATGTTATCCGCTTGACCTAGCTACCTAACTAGATTCATTAAACGAGATATAGAATAAGAGTTTAATACTAGTTATTAGGACTATTCATATCGAACTTTAAACACAAATTTGTTTTCACTGTTCATATTAAGGATATATGACTGACAAGCTCATTTTGTAAATAGTTTTTAATATTATTTGTATTTATTTTGTCAATCTTTCACTGTATGTATATTTATCATTAAATGACTGTACCTGTTGTTTTAGTGAATGACCTTGAACACATTATCCGTCGTGTTACTGACATAGCGTGATATACTGTTGCTTGCTCTCAAATACATTGCTATATACACATACCTTGTTCTACCTTCGTCTGTGATTGAGCTAGCTGCATTAAAAATCAAACATTATCTGCATTTACAGACTGTGAGTCGGAATATATCATACCTAACATTGGTTTACATTACTGGAGAGTTCAACAACCTGAGCGGAATTACTGAACGTTTATAATTGTGGAATTTTAGTACCAGACCCAATCCGAAGACGCGTCAACTTGGTGAACTTAAGTAAAGTCCCAAATTTTCTGTTGTATTTGTAACTGTTAACATTATTATTTACTCTTTATAACTTGGCTAACACTTTTTCATGTTCATATTTGTCTGGTCCACCACAATATATTTAAATCAATTTAGCTGATGCTAAGTTATATATTGCTTAATGTAATTCAATAAAATCATTGTACCACATAAAATATGAAGTTTTTGACGTTTATTTCGGGTTTTAATAGCGTTTTAAGAGAATGAGCATGATCGTTACAAAGTTTAGATACTTTGGACGATGTAGTGAAGTGCCTATTCGTTTACTCCCACGAGAACCACTACAGTAAGACAATTTTCTGTCAAAAACAAAGGTTCAAGACAAGTTTGTTGGTCATTAAAATATTTGAACGACTCAGACTTCACCATAAGCTATTTAAGTGGCATACAATCAGCTTTACTCCGTTGTTTTGTATAGAAGAAATGAACGCACAGTGCCCTTGCAGACATATCTATTAGTTGTCGAAACAACCAAGGATGCGCCTATGATTTTGCTTAGTAACACAAATTTATCTGGGCTGGTTGATAAATGTAGAGACATAGGTAATAACCATCAGTTTTAAAATACAAAGCATAAAGAATTAAAACTTTGATTTCGATGCCGGAAGAAATTAAAGGATAATTGGCTTTTTAACGTTTTATCGACAAGATATACAAGAACAGTCGGTGAGACTCTAATTTATGGACGAGCCAATCAGAAGCGTTTTAGAGATCTCAGTGATACGGCCTTTCTTTTTTATTTTACGGGCCGACAGTTTGCCCATTTTCTTTTTATTTCCACTTAGAAGTATTTATATGACATAAATACACTTCTTCGATAGGTTCAGTACTATGGCCTCACATAGCAAAATGTCGACGGTCTGCCTATGCAAAATCAGTCATCATCCAAAAGCTTGTATCTCACAAACTTTTCTTTGCTGGCCACTTCATGTCGCATAAATCTTGCATTATCTAATTCAGGATCATTAACAAAAGTATGGAATAGTTTCCACTCGTTTGTGCCAGGCTTCACCCACCTGTTCGGTCTTTTAGTTATCTTCTGAGTTAACGTCTGAGCTCATGATAAAAATAAGTGCATATACTCCCCTTCAGTACACTCTATACAATCATTCATTCTATATTTATCGCACATCTCACAAGAACCATTCTACAATAAGATGGATTTGTAGAACTATTTAAACAACAAACTGGTTCCAGATAGTTTGAATGACTCATCAAGAAGCCTTCCGTATTTGGTTGTACTTCATTTTAACCCCTTTGGTTTTCAAAAGAACCACTTACACGATATGCAGTAAATAGCTCAAAAATACGGCTTAGATAGCAACAAAAAACCTGTGTTTGTAGTTCATTAAAACAAGAACCTCTCGACCTTCATTAAACGCAAGAAGTCCTTCTTGATCTCTCACCGGTGGATTTGAACTTCAGGCGAGACAATCGTGAACTGATTACTTGGTAAGTTATGTGTTTTTTATGTTCACAAACTGTTTTTTCTAGTTATTGAGGTAAAGAAATCCCCAATATATATATTGATATGTCCTTGATATTGATGTTGACCTCATTAGTTTTACTGGTGATACCCTAGCTGAAGGCAATTTGGTATGCTTTCTCATCAGATCATGTAAGCTATGCTTGGCACCCCTTGAAACTGCTAGCCAGCCTATATCAAACGCATCTTGACATGTCAGTTCCAGTTTGGAAAGGACAAGAGGCTCGATGGCCTGTGTCTTGGCAATGGTGGTCTCTCAGTTGATCCAACTTTCTTTTGGAAAAGCCGACGGATGTAGCCTCAATCACGTGCAGAGGTAAAGAATTCCACTTGTTGATCATTCAATGGGAAAGTCGATAGTCAACTGACAAGTAATTTGTCCTGGGCTTGTGAACGTTTTTGGAGTGTCCTCGTAAATTCTCTGTTTTGGAAAACAAGAAAAATGATAGCGTATCAGGTGCAAATTTTTCACTCAGCAATTTGAGAACTGTAATCAAGTCGCCTCTAGTTCTACGATATGACAAACGGGAAAAGGTATAGCTTGGCCAGTCGAGCATCAGTCGGAAGCTTCGCTATTCCAGGAATCAGCTTTGTTGCTGTTCTCTGAACCTTTTTCAAAAGTTCACTGTCTTGTTTTAAGCAATGGCTAGCCAGTTGTATGCAGTACTCAAGTTTAGGACGTACGAATACTGTTTGCAAAGTCAAAAACTTTTTAGCGTCGACAAGAATAAAAGACTCTAATTATTGACCACGAATTTCTATAACCTTTGGCGGCTATTTCACGGTAGTGTTGAGTAGTCTTTAGGTCTTGACTAACGACGAACCCTAAGTCATTGTGTGTCTAGACAACAGGTAGCTCAGTGTTATTAATCGTGTATGTATCTGTACCTTGATGACCGATATACATCGCAATACACTTGGGAGTATTTATTGGCAACTGTCAGGCTTGAAACCATTCAATTAATTTCTCCAGGTCATTTTGGAGTTCTAAGTTATCACCTTTACTTCGTATCACTTTCCATATCTTGACATCGTGAGCATATATCAGGACCGATGATGATAGGTGGCGAGGAAGGTGATTTACATACAAGAGGAATAACACTGGCCCCAAGACTGTACCCTAAGGCACACCACATAGCACAGTTCTACAGCTAGATAACTTTGAGTTCACCCAACTAAGAAGTCTTTTATCCACATCAAAAAATTGCCTTCAATCCCGACATTTCTTAACTTATATAAGAGCCGGTTGTGCGGAACCTTGTCAAAAGCTTTACTGAAATCAATGAAGGCTACGTCTACAGGTAGCTTTTGGTCCTTAAGAGCGCACCAGCTTTCACGAGCCACTAATAAGTTAGTGAGACAAGAGTAACTTATTCTGAAACCATGCTGCTTCTCCGAAAGGATCCGGTTTTTATCGAGATACTTAAACAGCTCCTTTCGAATAATCTTTTCTAAGATTTTAACAACCACACTAGTTAGGTTAACCGGTCGGTAATTCTCAGGTTTATGTTTCTTACCTGTTTTGAAGACAGGACTTACTATGGCATTTTTTCAGTCTTTTGGTAAATGACCCTGGGTTACAGGTAGATCAAATCATATAATTAAAGTGTTCACAACGAGGTTCTATATTTCTTGTAGTAGCCTAGGATGCAATTCATTGGGCTCCGTGGATTCACCCATGTCGAGCTTATTTGGCAGACCAAAAACACCGAGTTCTTTAATGGTCACGCTATCCAGTGTATGTGTGGGGGGATTTGTATGCGCTGACGGGAAGTGTGCTTCTATGGTATATACATTGCTAAAGTAGTTTTAGAATACTTGAGCTTTACCAAAGTCGTCCTTCACTAATGATGAGACGGTACTGTCTCCCCATAGTGCAGAAATATTTCCTCTTCTT